GGTTGTCACAGGATGATTTTGACCCTTTCTTATATATTGGGACGATAAGTGATTGCGACCAGTCAGATGGGATAACGTCTAACTCCCAGATCTTAGCTAAAATATTAGTCAACCTAATCGCTAAAATTGGACCACCATCCTTAAAGACTTCTGGAGCCAATCCATCTGGACCAGCTGCCCTTCCTCGTTTCAGATTAACTATAGCCTTCTCAACTTCAGCAAGAGTTGGGGGACCTACTTCAATGTTCCATTCACATTGTCTGGGAATGGAGGGTAGTTGTAGAGTAGCTGAAGGCCAGCTGAACTGTTCTCTAAAATGTTCCGCCCATCGTTCTAAACGTCTGGACTGGGAGCAGATGAGAGTATCGTCTTTTTCCGAAATAATCTCACTTACACTTGACTTATTAATTCCAGTTTCTTTTATTAGTCTGTAAAGCTGTCTTGTGTTCCCTATAGTCGCCGCCTTTTCCATCTCTTTTGCTTTCGTTACCCACCACTGCTCACGGTCGTTCCTTAGACTTTTTCTTAACCTAGATCTGATTTGTTTCGCTCTTCATCATGTTCAGAACCTGATGGGACGAGTTTGCGAGAATCCATCAGTGTGACAGACCTTGAAGAAATCCACTGGTTCCTTGTAACTCTGTGGTTTAAGTCACTAATAGATGTCACTGCTGTTTCCACAGCTGCTTGTATGTCCTTCCAAGCAACATCTGGGTCAGCCTCGTCTTCACAACTACCTAAGTGTGACCTCAGTTGTTCCTGGAACCTACTTTTGGTTTTCTCGTTACTCAACTCAGTTCTAATGGGTCTTTTTAATGTGGCTTTTTTGCGTCCAGTGAGGCGCAAGCAGATGCGTGCCCGTATTAGGGCATGGTCGGAGTCCAAGCAGGTACTCCAGAATGAGCGACAATCTTCTACCGACCCTCTCCAACGATGACTGATGGCAATATGGTCTATTTGAGTCCATCGTTGGTTTGGTGTAGGGGGTCGCCATGTTAGACGATGTCTCTCCTTATGCTTAAAATTTGTGTTTGCTAAAAATAAACGATTGTCTGAGCATAGCTGCAGCAGACGATCACCATTATCTGTTCGCTGTGTCGGAATACTAAAATATCCACCTAAATGCCTTTCTGTTTGGTTTAAACTGCCTATCTGAGCATTAAAATCACCTGCTACGAGTACTATGTCTGAGCGTTTAGCTTTCTGAAGAAGTTCGGACAGCTTTCTGTAAAATTCATCTTTCACTTCATCTGAGCTGCAGTCAGTGGGAGCGTAGGCAGAAACGACAAAAAGGCAACGACGTGTGTCCCTATCCTTCCGAGTTCTTACGTAGCCGAACAGCACATAGACGACTGTTGACGGGGATCCACTCTAGCAGTGCTTGTTCGGCCCTCATGCTTAGTGCTATGCCTACACCTGCCAGTCCACGAGAACTTGCCATCGGGTCACCAGATACACGAAGGGTGTATCTCGTTGGCTCTCCGTTTGCCGAGGTGAGGTCAAGTGAATGACCACACTGGAATCCTGTATGCGTGTTTCGGAGACACAGCATACATCAATGGAAAGAGACTCTAGGGTTTTAGCCAAGGAAGCCTGCTGACCGATTTGACATAGGGTGCGTACGTTGAAGGCTCCAATGTGTAGTTTGGAGCGAGGTTTCAGTAGACCTGGGACAGTGTTTTGCGCACTAGAATCGTTGGCTATGGTGACACTTGAGGTGGAAGCCGAAGAGGAAATTTAGAGTTGAAAGTCGATGTAGGAGGAATAATAGGAATTGAAGAGGAGGTTGATTATGAATACAGTGGTCTTGAGTGCTGTTAGAAGTATGAGGGCGGTTATCACTTCCCGGTTGCCCACACCGTGGAAGGGTTGTTCTGGAGGTACCTGAAAAGGAAATTGGATTAAAGGTGGTCTTAGTGACCTGAGAGCGTGACCGCAGTGCCCAAGGGACAACTGCTTGAGGTCGGTCACACACGACCTTGTTATGGGTAATTTTTGTGTTAGCTCCGTACTTATTGAGACCTTACCGCCGGAGACGGATATCCGTGGGATAAGGCGAGGTGTGCATTTTTAGGGTCGACCTTTTCTAACCCCACCCCTCCTTGTGGGAAGGCAGCATCGCTGTCATGCTGGTTGTCTGAAGGAAACACCTTACTGCTGTCACACCTCTGTACAGTCAGCAGTACGACTTCGCCTTCGGACCTTGGGTTTGTTGCTTTTAGTCTTACCGCTCTTCAACCGACCTGTCTGACATGGTAGGACCTTGAGGAACGGTTGTTCCAGCCAGTATAGCTCGGTTGCTTCATCACGATAGGCAAGCCCGACCACCACGTCAAGGTAGCAACAACGGTATTTGCAAGAAACAGGCGGCTATCTGAGCATAGCAGCAACAGACGGTCGCCATTATCTGTTTTTTGAGCCACAATGCTATAAGATCCACCCAGGTGTCTTTCCCTATCGCTTAGTTTACCTACTTGAGCATTAAAGTCACGAGTCACTATTACTACATCACAGCGCCTAGCTTTTCGGAGGTCGGAGAGCTTTCCGTAAAACTCATCTTTTACATCATCTGAGCTGCAGTCAGTGGGAGAATGGGCAGAGACAACGAAGAGGCAACGACGAGTGTCCCTATATTTTCCGATCCTTACAATTCCGTTCAGTCGGACAGCGCACAAACGACTGTCTACTGAGATCCACCCTAACAGAGCTAGTTCTGTCCTAGGACTCAATGCTATACCTACGCCGGCGAGACCACAGGAAGTAGAATCAGGGCTTCCAGATACACGAAGTGTGAATCGAGTCGGTTCTTTATTTTGGCATGGTGAGGCCAAATGAATGACGCTACTCGGATCCTGTATGCGCGTTTCGGAGACGCAGCACACATCGATGGCGCGAGATTCTAAAGTCCTAGCTAAGGAAGCCTGCTGTCCTATTTGGCAGTGCTCGGACGTTAGAAGCTCCTACGTGTAGTTTAGAGCGTGGTTTCAGGAGACCAGGAATAGCGTTCCGCGTACACGAATCGTTTGTTCTAGCGGTGCGAGGTGATAAACGGACGTGAGAATGGTTAGTCATGGAGATAAGAGAGGAAAGGATTTGAGTGCGACCAACTCGATCTCGTGTGGTGTTACGGATATGAGGGCTGATATCACTTCCCGGCCGCCCACACCGTCAAAGAGTATTTCTTGAGGAACCTGAAAAGGAAATTGGATTAGTGTTGGTCTTAATGACCTGGGAGAGTGACCGCAGAGCCCAAGGGACGTGTTTGGGGCCGGTCGCGCACGGCCTTTTCGAGGAAGGTTTTTAATGTGTTAGCTCCGTTCTTCAAAGGGCCTTACAGCCGGAGACGGAAATCCGTCAGGTAAGGTGAGGTGTGACATTTTTAGGGTCGACCTTTTCTAACCCCTTCCTTCCTTGTGAGAAGGAAGCATTGGTGTAGATGCTGGTTGTCCGAGGGAAACACCTTACTGCTGCCACACCTCTCTACAGTCAGCGGTACGACTTCGCCCTCAGACCTTGAGTTGCTGCTTTTAGTTTTACCGTTCTCCAATCGACCTGCCTGGCATGGCAGAACCTACAGGAAAATAAATTCCAGCCAATATAGCTCGGTTAGGTCATCACGAAAGGCAAGCCCGACCACCGCGTCAAGGCAGCAGCTCAGTAAAATACAGGTCATAATTACTTACTTACTTACGCCTGTTACTCCAAATGGAGCATAGGCCGCTGACCAGCATTCTCCAACTCACTCTGTCCTGGGCCTGCTTTTCTAGTTCCATCCAATTCTTGTTCATTTTTCTCATGTCTATCTCCATTTCCCGGTGTATTGTGTTCTTTGGTCTTCCTCTTTTCCTTTGACTTTCCGGATTCCATGTGAGGGCTTGTCTTGTGACGCGGTTGGGTGCTTTCCTCAATATATGTCCTATCCACTTCCAGCGCTTCTTCCTAATTTCTTCCTCTGCCGGGATCTGGTTTGTTCTCTCCCACAGTACGTTGTTGCTAATAGTGTCCGGCCAACGGACCCGAAGTATTTTGCATGGACAGTTGTTAATAAACACCTGTATTTTCTGGATGATGGCTTTCGTAGTTCTCCAGGTTTCCGCCTATATACAGTAGAACTGTCTTGACATTTGTATTAAAAATCCTGACCTTGGTGTTGTTTGACAGAGAGTTGTTTTGAGTTCCAGATGTTCCTCAGTTGTAAATATGCTGCTCTTGCTTTACCGATCCGCGCCTTCACATCTGCATCAGATCCACCCTGTTCATCAATGATGCTCCCCAAATACGTAAAGGTTTTTACATCTTCCAAATCTTCTCCGTCAATTGTGATTGGATTGGTGCATTCTGTGTTGTATCGGAGAATCCTGCTTTTCCCTTTGTGTATATCGAGACCTATTGCTGCTGAGGCTGCTGCCACACTGTTCGTCTTCTCCTGCATCTGTTGTTGCGTTTGGGATAGAAGGGCCAGATCATCTGCGAAGTCTAGATCATCCAACTGCATCTTAGATGTCCATTGTATCCCGCGCTTCCCTTCAGACGTTGACGTCTTCATGATCCAGTCGATTACCACGAGAAAGAGAAAGGGTGAGAGTAAGCAACCTTGCCTAACACCGGTCTTCACTTTGAACGACTTTGTCAACTGTCCTCCATGCACAATTTTGCAGTGTAATCCATCATATACAGGTCATCATTAATAAGTTATAACGGTAATAATTGATTATTTCATTTGAATATTAGGATGAAGATGTTAGATCTATTTAAACATCCAACCGTTGTCTGATACGACCTACAGATGTAAAATTCTTAACATTCCTAAACAATTAATCTATAGATGACGTGGATGTGGTGGCTTGTATATTACAAAATAAGAAAGTCAGGAGGGGAGTCGTTAACCATACAAAATCGGCTAAACCCTAGAACATGTAATAAATCGATTGAGACTTTTTACTGAAATGCAATAAAAGTACTTAGCTATCTCTCAAAGTTAGAAAAAGTTTGAGCCTCACCTTGTTTGTAGGCAACTTCAGGCAAATACGTAGCAGTGCGATGATATCCCTTTTCATTAACAAATTCAATTCGAATTCCATGAACACCAATCTATTTTATGCAATAAAAAAGTACAGATTACTACTCATTTTTAAACATCTGTATTTTCCAACGAGCGAAAACAAAACGAAATTATTTTTACAGATAATTACATTGGTCGTAATAGATTAATAGGATCATTAATTACATGAAAAACCATAAGCCAGGCTCAGTAGACTAATCAAGTCAGCTCGTACTACCTGTGGTCTAGAAAAGGTGTTTGTCTATCAGAGGGTATAACTACAATGCAGTACACTACTTAGTACCAAATGCGTGTGAAGCGTGGTCTTGGAAATAATAGAACTTATGTACGTTGCGCATACTTGATCATAAGAATTTCTGACCCATACTCATGTACAGTGGGATAACTAGATGAAGAAAGTTAGGCTTAAAGTACTAGGTAAAAACGTCAGAAACAAGCGTTAACAACAGCCAATCAAATTCAATATACACAGAACAGTCTACTAGCCAATTGGGGTGGGATACTCATAACTCATTTGGTAATGATTTCTAGAAAAACAATGAGAATTTTGGGATTATACCAGTGAAGTAAATATTAAGTCCATGGATAACGCTAAAAAATATCAGTGATTGAGGTAGTTGCTTACGTATGTCTTACCAACGCCCACTTAAATGTCCAATGATGACTGATATGCAAGTAGGTTGGAAAAAAACTAGGATTGAAGAGATCAACGTGTTATTAATCCACGACGCTATTAGCTACTGGTCTAAGCTATATCAGTATGCGCACTTTCTCATTCAGCCCTGCACAATAATTTCAATCACTTGTCGGATAATGGTGCGAAATCGATGTGTTAGTTCTATCTAGTTTTTGTCTTCCTTGAGATCTTGAATTAAATGCCATGCCTTATCTTTTGACCAGATTACCTTATTTTGAAACTCATCTGTTTCAGAATTTGTTTCCGTCGAAATTAAGTTCTCTCCTCTGAAGTTCCATTTTTGACGAACTACTTTAGAATGTGGTAATTAGGATAGATGCATATTTTTGCTAGATCATAAGTCGTTTATAACTGACTGGCATCACTCTTGATTACAGGAGTAATGGTTGGAAAGTTTGGGTACAAAATTCCCAGTTACTGAATCACGATTCGGGAGTTCGACTCATCATTATCTATCCGAGCGGCTGAGTAATATTAGCCCTAATAAAAAGCGAACCTAAAGATCTACTGCACCAACCTAAACATTGTTACAGTTATACTCACGTACATGGTATAAATTGAAATATGGATAATAATAAAGTATTACATCGTGTAACTCTAATAGACAACCCGGTTAGGCATGGTGGAAATAAAGGGACGGGTATTTAGGCATTACGAAAAGCTTAACGACAAAGATCAGTTCCTTGGTGGCTAAAGCATTAACTTGAGACAATTAGGTTGAAGTTTGAGATCTTTGTGTACTTACGTTTGATAAAATCGGCAGTCTAAATTTTTACACGAAGTATAAGGCTCGATGAAAAACGAACTTAATCGAATACGTTTATCACTAGGCATAACCAGTCCGATGAGACTATAATTTATGGACGAGCCAATCATAAAATGATTCAGCCCCTATAGTTCGGAAAAAGTCAAGACATATGGAAGGTTTGTACACACGTAACTGAATCAAAAAACCTAAGCTATTGATTTTGACCTGTAAATATAAACCAACCTGCCAGTCCTGATAGTTTTTCCCCTCTTCAAAATTCAAAAGCAAGGAGACTGAACATGTGAGATGAGGAAACTCTTCTTCTGTTATTGGTGAAAGCGACTATCTTTGATGGCACTGAAAGATTTAAAATATTAGGAAAACATAAATAAACCTGTTAATCGCATATTCACGAAGACCGCTATGGATATTCATGGCAGTAAAAGTACCTATACATCCACGCAGCTTTTCCTCTTTTCCATACGTCCATGTCACGAAAAGCGGACTACAGGTAAATGAGTAAGACTTTAATTTACTAAGAGCTGTTTGGAAATGTCTTGGGGGTAGGGGGAGGTTCAATATTACGCAAATGGTTGTGAAGGACGTCAAAGCAAAAGTAACACATTTCACGTCTAACAACCCAGGTGTGCTAAGGCCATTACGAGGAACGCATGGTCGTGATGTTGATTCCTCATCCAACCTTTGCTTTTTGGCTCCAAAGCAAGACGAAGGAGCTCTGGAACGAGCCATAAACACGACAGTCTAGACGTAGTGACCTAGGACACACAAACCACCCACCGTCCTTCACCAGAAACAAAGGGATGCATGTAATTTCATTCAAGTTTCAAAAACCTGTTAAACAATATAATTTACTGATTATTTCTGGTAATAAGAGTATGGATTATGATGAGTGCTTAGTCTTTTAAAATATCTGAATGACTGATCCAATAAACAATAACCCTGCGATTAGCTAACAGTGTAAAAAAAGCAGTTGCCAACGTCCGGGTTGTCATTTCCCGTTGAAAGTGGCATGCAATGCGATGAGTGCAAAGGCTGGTACCACGAAGTTTGCACGAACTTAACGCCTGCTGCTTTCAAACCGTTCAGTAAGAAGGGTTGTGTATGGCTTTGTCAACAGTGCTGCTCGGATGCAAACAGCTTGGTAGCCGAGGCCATCTCACTGGTTGATGCTGCAAAGAAGTGTTTTAGCAAGCATAGTCGGAACACGTCAAACAGCACTCGATATGTCGTCACGCAAATAGACATGAAGCAAACTAAGGTTAGTTCGATAATAGATGACTCACGCCGGTCAAAGAAGGAAAAGCAGTCTCAAAAGGGGCCTGCCTTAAACAAAAGCTCAAGGAAATTAGGTTCTTCTGTTCCACGTCCCCCAGATGGGATCCAACAGGAAACGCTTAGAAGCCGCAATCGCAAGGCTCAATCGGTTTCAAGTGGTAACATAACCCGACTTTTCTGGTCGTCGACAACCCCCCAAAACCCAACACTAGGTTTGACGCAACTGTTATTGCTTCTCCCAGCACCGTTGACGAATGGGTACAGGTTTTAAGGAAAAAAGAAGCGATATATAAGGTAATCCTACCCACGAAAATGTAGTCGTAAAGTCGAAAGCTGATCATAGCGACAGATCAGCTATTTTTCATGGAGTCTAGGAGAGCGATAACTCTGAACCTAAAGCTCGTTTTGAGCATGACATTGTACTGATTAAGCAGCTGCTTAATCAACTCATGCCTCAAAAATATGACCGAAGTCGCCTTGCTAAAGGTGTACAGACTAGAGAGTCTAACGGAGTCGAAACCAAATCATTCCAGACTGCTTAAAGTAGCATTCGGCTCTTCGAACGAACGTGACCTAATTTTACAAAATGGACGCAAATTAAAGGGTTCAGGAGTCTTTATCCGAAAGGACTTACCGTTGGCAGACCGTGTCAAAAGAGCGGAAGCCGAAAAGAACTACAACATAGGTTAGACGCTGGCGAAAAGGACCTGAAAATTGTAAATTTTCGGGTTGTAAGACTTCGACAGAAAATGATGCCGAAGCCACTCTGGGTGAAGCACGAAGGCACTTAAAGAGGCTTCGGATCTGTTACACCAGTGCACGAAGCTTACTTAACAAGCGATCGAAACTAGGTGTACAGATTGACTCTAAAAAGTCAGACATAATCGCAGTAACAGAAACCTGGCTGACACAGGTTATAGACAGTATGGAACTTGATTTCGAGGGTTTTACGTTATTAAGGGCCGACAGAATACAAAAGCGTAAAGGGGGAGGAGTAGCTCTATTCATTAGGAATGTTATCCCATTTGCCATTATCGACAGTGTATCCCATGAGAGTGGGACGTGTGAATTAGCTAATCTTCGCTTGAAATACAAGGGACAAGAGCTGCTGATTGGTTTGGTCTATCGCAGTCCAAGCTGTGAGGTAAATGAAGTCCTGCTAGGCAGTCTCAATACTTGGTCCCAAAGTTGTCGTTGTCTAATCCTAAGGAACTTTAATGCACCTATGGTAGACTGGGAAAATCTGTGAACTAAATCGTCGGAAAATTCCTTCGAACAGGAACTAGTTGATGGGGTTATCACATGTGTCCTAGTGAAACACGTTCCAGAAGCTACAAGGTACGATCCGGACACTGAATCATCCTTATTAGATCTTATACTGACTCACTATGAGAATGACGTTGAGAACCTCCATCGTATGCCACCCCTAGGTAAAAGTGACCACGCAGTTTTAACTTTCGACTTCCATATAACTGCCAGTCACGAGCACGCATCAGTCCAGTCCAGACCAAACGTCTGGAAAGCAAACATACCAGGAATCCATAGAATGTTCTAAACGCTTGTATTCCCATATAAAAAAAGGACAAGGAGAAAAGGAAATATTCCTGCTCTATGGGGAGACAGTACTGCCACGTCACTAGTGGAGGACGACTTTGGTAAGGCTCAAGTGTTCTCGAACTACTTTAGCAACGTATATACCAAAGAAGCACCCTTTCCGCCCTTCCCATACAGATCCTCCCACACATATACTGGATAGCGTGACCATTAAAGAACTCGATGTCTTTAATCTGCTAAATAAGCTTGACATAGGTAAATCCACGGGGCCCGATGAATTACATCCTAGGCTACTGAAGGAATTCTCTAACTTCGTTGCAAGCCCTTTAAGTACATGCTTTAACCTATCCGTTACGCAGGGTCGCTTACCGAAACATTGGAAAAACGCCATAGGAAGTCCTGTCTTCAAAACAGGCACGAAACACAAACCTGAGAACTACCGCCCCGTTAGCCTAACTAGTATGGTTGTTAAAATCTTAGAAAAGATTATTCGGAAGGAGCTGTTTAAGTATCTCGATAAAAACCGGATCCTCTCGGAGAAGCAGCACGGCTTCAGAATAGGTTATTCTTGTCTCACTAACTTATTAGTGGCTCATGAAAGCTGGTGCGCTCTTAAGGACCAAAAGCTACCTGTAGACGTCGCCTTCATTGATTTCAGTAAAGCTTTTTATAAAGTTCCGCACAACCGGCTGTTATATAAGTTAAGAAAAGTCGGGATTGGAGGCAATTTATTGATGTGGATAAAACACTTCTTAGTTGGGCGTCAACAAAGAGTTCGGGTGAACTCAAAGTTATCTAGCTGGGAAACTGTGCTTAGTGGAGTGCCCCAGGGTACAGTTTTGGGGCCAGTGCTATTCCTCTTGTATGTAAATGACCTTCCTTGTCTCCTATCATCATCGGTCTTGCTATATGCTGACGATGTCAAGATATGGAAAACGATACGATGTAAGAGTGATAGCTTAGAACTTCAAAATGACCTGAAGAGATTATCTGAATGGTCTCAAACATGGCAGTTGCCGATAAATATTTCCAAGTGTGTTGTGATGCATATCGGTCATCAAGGCACAGATACATACACGACGAATAACACTGAGCTACCTGTCGTCCAGACATATAATGACTTAGGAGTTATCGTTAGTCAAGACTTAAAGACTACTGCACACTGCCGTGCAATAGCCGCCAAAAGTTTTAGAACGTTATGGTCAATACGTAGGGCTTTTAGTCATGTCGACGCCAAAACGTTTTTGACTTTGTATACAGTGTTCGTTCGTCCTAAACTTGAGTACTGCATACAAGCGGCTAGCCCCTGCTTAAAAAAGACAGTGAGCTTCTGGAAAAGGTTCAGAGAACGGCGACTAAGCTGGTTCCCGGAATAGCGAAGCTTCCGTATGAATCTCGACTGGCCAAGCTGAACCTTTTCCCGTTGTCATATCGCAGAACTAGAGGCGACTTGATTACAGTCTACAAATTGCTTAGTGATAAATTTGCACCTAACATGCCCTCATTTTTCTTGTCTTCCAAAACAGAGAATTTACGAGGACACTCCAAAAAAGTTCACAAGCCGAGAACAAATTACTTGTCAGCTGACTATCGACTTTCCCATCGAATCATCAACGAGTGGAATTCACTACCTCAGCACGTGGTTGAGGCTCCATCCGTCGACTCTTTCAAAAGAAAGTTGGATCAACTGTGAGACCACCATTGCCAGGACTAACACGGGCCATCAAGCCTCCTGTCCTTCCCAAATTGAAACTGATGAGCTTATTTATTTATCTTTGGTCGTCTAAGGAAAGGCGTCTAAAATATACGAACTGATTACACTTCCCAAATAGTTCTCATGTATTCGACGCGTGGCTGTAAGTTTGATTTCACGGGTGCATGGATTGTTCTCAGAGTAATAGGGTCTTGAGGCCAGTGAAATGTTCATAAGCCTGTAGTGACTTATTTTTTTCACGAGAACACGATTAGTTTAATGAAAACAATTATTATTATAACCAATTGTAACAGTGACGGTTTAATGTGCTCTTTGTTTAACTGTGCTAAAAACATCCATTATACATACTTCGATTGTGACCTCACGTGAATCCGGTTACGCTAAGTAACCAAGCTTGTATCCTGGCACGATCTGAGTATTCTTTCGATATCACGAGATTGCCAGCAAGTATATCTCGACTTGGTCCATTAACTGCCTTCTGATATTTGGCTCTCATGGGATTTTATGGGTATCCTGGCACGCGTTTCTTTGTAGTTGTGTTTATGGTCAATTTCGACTCGACTGGACTCTACAACTGTTGAGCCGAATTCTGGAACACGCCGCAGCCTCTGGTACAATCGCCATAAACACGACAGTCTAGACTTAGGGCAACGCCCCTAAGGTATCGTCCAGTGATGAAGGTTGCGAGCACTTGAAGGTCAAACTGTCGCAAAATCATTGTTGCGTCACATCGACAATTCGTGAAAATTTTCAGAAGCGGTCAAATCAAGACATTTTTAGATTTGAATTGAGTTCAGCCACACCATGTCTGGTAACGTCAATTCTTCACGTAACGAAGACGATGCCATCGTGATGATGCATGATATAGGACGAATCTTCAATGATATTATGTTATCTCGAAGATTTACAGGTTGGAACAATTCTAAGACCTGTTTGAAAGAAGTATATAAGGTAAAATGACTTCAACAGTTATAGACATCGTTTATTATTAAACATCAGCTAAAAATAATCCACAAGCCACAACGGGAAATCACCAACAACTGAGTATGCGTGTTAAAAATACAAGGAAATATATATTAATGAGTGTTAATCGAATATGGACCAATTATTGATTACCTGTGACTTACAACCAATGGGAGAATAGATTACAGATTGATTGATGTGCAGACACGCACACAATCAGACT